GTCAATGACTCTTGAACTATATAAACAACATCACCATGCTTAGATTTTCACAAGCTAGCAAGATTAATCGTCTTGTTCCATATAAATTACCTAAATAATCGAAGCAACATGAAGAAGACGGTAGCTGAAATTCTTGCATATGTCGCCCTATGGGCTGTAGTTTCCTCTCTTGCATATGCCTCTGATCCCAGTCCTCTTCAGGACTTCTGTGTTGCTGTCAATGATTCTAAAGCTGCTGGTACGTACATGATGTTCCCCTCCATTTCTAAGCTTGCTAGAAATATTTGTATCAGTCCAAATTTCCTTTTTATAGTCTGCTAATGCTTGTCAATTTTACTGTTTCTGTGCAGTGTTTGTGAATGGGAAATTTTGCCAGGATCCAAAGATGGCCACGGCTAATGATTTTTTCTTCTCCGGGCTCAACATACCTAGTAACACGTCTAATAAACTCGGGTTCATGGTCAATCTAGTAACAGTTGATCAAATTGGTGGACTAAACACCCTTGGCCTTTCGATTGCACGCCTTGATTTTGCACCATATGGCCTCGACCCTCCTCATACACACCCTCGTGCTAGCGAGATCCTCGCTGTTGTGGAAGGTTCCCTCTATGTGGGATTTGTTACTTCCAACCCCGACAATCGTCTCATAAGCAAGGTCCTATACAAAGGAGATGTGTTTGTGTTCCCTGTTGGTCTCATTCACTTCCAGCTAAATGTTGGAAACACACCTGCCGTGGCTATTGCCGCATTGAGCAGTCAGAATCCAGGAGTAATCACCATTGCAAATGCAGTGTTCGGGTCGAAGCCACCTATCTCTGTTGATGTTCTCACCAAGGCCTTCCAGGTTGACAAAAATGTGGTTAATTATCTTCAAGCTCAGTTCTGATAACAATGGCCAATAAAAAGACATTTACATGATTGCTATTTCGAAGTTTATTAATTGTTTGAATAAATAAGTGCACACTTTGCACATCATAAATAAAATGAAGCTATTTTTATGACATACATTCTTTCTCTCTCTCTCTCTCTCTGTATGTGTGTGTGTGTGTGTAAGTGTGTTTCAAGCCCACGGAATGAGTTTCAATTATAATGCAAGACATATACCATTAAAAAATCAGGCAACATTATTTCGGGTTGGGTCATCATTCGGATTAACACACAAACTAGAATCCACAAAGGCCCAACAACAGATTGTTTTTAAAATTAGTTGTTTAGTTATCACCAACAATGGAAACTCAATTTAACTTTCTCTCAAGCTATGGAAAGTTTTTGTATTTTGTTTTTGTGTCACCTCCATGTCCAATCAATCTAACTATTCTCAACGCCCACCAATTAGTTGATCATAAATGCACAGTTGATTTTCTGCAATGGATTGAGATAGTTGAACCACGGTGGATGTTTTTCGATTTGCTCTTGCAATAGAGAACTATGTGTCCGACTAATCTTCTCTGATACCTAAGTTAGTAAGTACACCAAAGGGATGGATAAGGCCTTTTCTATACTAGATTGCTCGCAAATGCGTACATGAGACCCAACTCATTGGGTATTTATACCTATAATAGGGCGATGTGGCAGTATAGGGGTCCAATCCCGTCGGCTGATGGAGCCTTCATAGGTGTAATCATTAGTGACAAGTACTCTTCTCAAATCGCATAATTACTAGGCTGTAGGGGGTCAATGTCAACTCGGGGTCGAATCCTGCAATGATTAGCTAGCTCAGGATGCCGACCACTCATTACACATCCCCTCAACATTTAATGATCTCTGCAAGTTATTTATTGAGCTGTACCGAGTACTCATCATTGTCCTCCCAATGGTTAAATGTACTTTATCCTGACAAATCGGTGTCAGTTAGGACCATGCCTTTATCCCGATCTCTTGGGATAGAGGTATAGTCAGATTTGACTGGTTCATTTCTCTATGGCCTGTCACGTCATGGAGGGCCTTGGGGTTAAATGCTCGATCCTATGGACCTCTTTTTACCTTTCCCATGATGGGCAATATCTCCTCGGATCCTGACCTTGGGACCGATTCATATTCTCAATGCTCTAATTTTTGGGTCCACTTTTTTAGTTTATGGTCATAGATATATCAAGTTATGGTTGCGAACCCTGAAATATTATCACGGCAAGGGATGAACAAAAATTCATGACTCGGATTCTATATGTTTTCCATCTGCTCATCAGGAATTGCCCATATAGTGTGGGACCAAAAATAGTTTTTCAATTGTAAAAATTGAATTTTTGGTTGACTTTGAGCCTAAATTAAGTGGGACCCGTTAATTATTTCGAATAAATTTTTGTGAGTTCATATTTTACTCCATGATGAGAATAATTTAGTATATTCATTTGCTCAAATTGAGTAAGAAATGAATGAGAAAATAGGCTTCAAAGTGACCCTTTTTAAATTTGAAAATAAAAGTTGTGCAATTTGGGATTTGACACCAATCCCACATTGGTTGAGGAAGAAATTCAATATGGGTATATATAAGCTAAGTTTGCTCTATGAGATTAGGCCCTAAAGGGTACCACAATTTTATGCGTGGAGTGAGCACCTACATGCCTTTGGTTCGATCACACACACACCGCCCGCCTGCCACACCACGACCCAGCCGGGCTCGGGCTCGGCTGTGGTTTAGACCAAGCCCTATTTTTTTGGAAAAAATTTATTTAATTAATTGGGCATGAGTTTGTTAATCCGAAATTTATTTTCGGTATCCATTAGATCGCACTGGGATGACTATTGTGTTTATTTTGGGTTGTGACTTTTGGTATGGTGGCATTAAGCCAGGCATTAGAGCATAGCATTTTGGCATTAAGGCAGTTTGCATTTGGAGAGTACACAACATAATTTTTTGGTTTGCTGGACGAGTAGATTAGAGTGTTATTTCTGCTCGTGTAAAGATCATTGTATATTGGGAGACAAACACTTGATATTCCATAAGCACCGTGTGTGGGGGCGAAATCTGTCTGAAGGACATAGTGTCAAACATTAGCCTTGATCTACAACAACTTCAATAACAGTATCTATTCTAAACCGGGTTAGTATTTCTTTTGGTTTTACAGACAGTTATGTGTAACTGTTTACTGTTACTGTTTCGTAAGACTGTTGTAACTCTGTCGTGAAAGACTATTTCTGTGTAATTGTTTCGTACTTGATTGTTACTGTTTTGTTATACATTATATGTTTCAAATCAGAAATTTCAATAACTAATTTTATTATATTTGGAATACCACAAACAACAGATAGTTGCTCTACAAAGTGTTCTTGATGAACCATAAAGCTATCATGAATTTTGGTAGATTTTATTCCAAGTACTACAGAAAATCTTCCACCATTAAGAGTGCAAAACAAAGTCAAGAATTAAGCGAAATGAGTTTGTTTGAGTGATTAAGGAGTTGTCTACCTTTAGGCATTACTCATGTTCGAATCTCACTAGCTATATAGCAATCACCTTCCATTATACTCTCAAGAGTTGATTGAATCTATCATCATGCATAAATAAAATTAATGTCAAGAAGTTACACACTATGTGCCAAAAAAAAAAAAGAACTTGCATACTCAACTCAACAAACGAATATGCAAGATTAAGAATTTAAAATTTATGTAGTGACTAAAAATTTTATATAATTTGAACTTGCAAGATGACTTGATCACTACCATGCAAAACATTAGCTGACAATTGACATGCTGGTACGAAACTAAGTTTCGTTTCAAAATATTCAAAACGTTATCATTTCCATTAAAACCGAAGTGATTGAATATGTAATTTCCTACATTTTTAGGTTTTTCAACATAGTTTAATATGTTTTGAAAACAAATATTCACACTTTTTTATTTGATTTCATCTTGTTTTCAAAATATTTTCAAAACTTTTCTATTTTTAATTTCATCGAAACAACTTGTCGAAACGAAATTTTAATCATGGAGGGATTCTCATTTCAAATGGCTTTAGAAATCTACTTAAGAATTAAAGTTATCTTATACCCACATTGTGTCAATGAACTCAACTCAAGTACGACATAAAACTTCAACACAAATGTAAAATTATTGAACTTGCAGGAGACCTAGAAAAACAAACCATTCTCATGGGTCTAATAGTAGTTTTTGATCTTAATTAACAACCAAGAAAGCTTAGGTGCAAACTATCACCAAATCAAGTTCTGCCTTGCAATTAGAATGTGTAGAGAATTGCTACAGTCTATAATAGTGATTGCAACTCATTGCGAGCACTTGACTAAAAAGGTCATTACCCAATTTAATTTATGTTAGTACATTGTAAAACTTGAACATTATTACACAAAATAACTACTATTAGATTCAAACGCACAACCTCATAATTGTCGGTCCAACTACTATCCTAAACATGGGCTCATGCTCAATTTTATGCAATATATGTGCATAATTAGATGTTAATAGTATGTATCATCTATATTTCCCAATAAGCAAACGACCTTGAGACAAAGTTAGAACCTCTAATCCTGAGGCTTAGTCACAACTGCAGAAAAAATAACTCACATATGCAAAGGTCTGATGCATTTGAAGCCAACAAAAACTTCCTTTCATATCCATTCTCATGTATCGGTACATGTTTCGCTTGATCTGCCATCCTGGAAAGACAAAAGAATCATAAGAAGCAAATGAGGTGGTTGATTGATAGAGTTTGAAATGGCGTTGCTCAGATTGACAATAAAAGAATTCTGAAGACTTGGTAAGTCTAATTACCCTGCATGTATACTGATTTTGATCACAATTAGACTGATTCAACATCTGAACATGTCAATTACTCTTGCATATGCCTCTCATCCTAGTCCTCTTCAGAAATCTGTGTTGTTGTCAATGATTCCAAAGCTGTTGGTACATGACATTCATTTCAATTTCGAGCCTTAATAGAAATATTTGTATCACTCTAAATTTCCTTTTTATCATCTGCTAATGCTTGCTAATTTTACTGTTTCTGCTCAGTGTTTGTGATTGGGAAATTCTGCCAAGACCCAAAGATGGCCAAGGCTAATGATTTTTTCATCCCCGGACTCAACATACCTGGTAACACATCTAATAAAATTGGGTCCATGGTCACGCCACTAACGGTTGCTCAAATTGGTGGACTAAACACCCTTGGCATTTCAATGGCACGCCTTGATTTTGCACCATATGGCCTCAACCCTCCTCATACACATCCTATTGGTACTGAGATCCTCACTGTCATGGAAGGTGCCCTCTATGTGGGGATTGTTACTTCCAATCCCGACAATCATCTCATAAGCAAGGTCCTATACCAAGGAGATGTGCTTGTGTTCCCTATTGGTCTCATTCACTTCTAGCTAAATGTTGGAAACACACATGCAGTGGCTATTGCTGGGCTGAGCAGTCAGAATCCAATAGTAATCATCATTGCAAATGCAGTGTTTGGGTCAAAGCCACCTATCTCTGTTGATGTTGTCACCAAGGCCTTTCAGGTTGACAAAAATGTGGTTTACTATCTTCAAACTCAATTCTAAATTGATAACAGTGGCTGCTAAAAAGACATTTACATGATTGCTATTTCGAACTTTATTAATTGTTTGAATAGATTAGTGCACACTTTGCACATCATAAAATAAAATGATTCTATTGTTTATGACATACATAATCTCTCTCTCTCTCCCTTTATGTGCTTGTGTTTCAATACCATGGAATGAGTCTCAATGGTAAAGCAGGACATAACATGACTATGCAAGCATATTTACATGTTTCTTTAGAAAAAGGCAGAACCAGTGGTCCCACATGCACCTAAAATATTTGGCCCCATAGAAAATAGGCAAATCTTCATGTAAATTGGGCAGGGGCCGCACAAACACAGGCCCCCATTGGAACAAATTATGAAGTAGGCTCTACCACTTTGGTTGATCTTAGGCAGACGCCCATCCCAAGTGCAATGGAAGTCACCAACCTAGGCCAATGGCCTTCTTGATCACCCATTGACCTCGTCCAGGTAAGTATGTTTTGTTGTGTAATTTATTTAATAAATCAATGAAATGATGGAAAAACAACTCTTGCACAATTAATTTCTTAAAAACAAAGACCCAAGAAATTAGACCCAAAAAAGATTTGCCCTAAAATCACAATTTATGAAATATAAGTAAAGTAACGATCTCACCAAACAATAGATCAAGCTGAAACTTTGTCCTCAAAGGTTGATTTGCGCCCCTCGAAGTCGATGACTTGGTGTGATAGGTTCTTGGCAAGACAGCCTCCTAAGATTTCTATAGCTTCACCAACACACACTTGTTGTGAAGAGTGTGTAACAACCATTTTGATAGTTCCTTGTAGAAGCTCAACAAAATTTTCTAAAGAGAATGTGTTATTTGAAGCAATGAAAGAGAGATGAGAAGCAAAAAATTTCAAGAGAACACAAGAGGGAGCCGAAGTGTCTATTGCCAGGGGAACAGCCAGACCAAAAAAAGGAGGAAAAAAATGAAGCATACTTTGTAAGCTATTCTAACAGTAAAAAAAACAAAGGAAGAGGGTCATGGGCTTGCAAATATAAAAACTAATTCAATGAGCTTAGAATAATAAAAGAGTGTAGGCCCAATCAACTAAATGTTTTGAAACATAATGAACTAAGCCCAACAATCCCCCCCCCCCCCACATGTTTCAAAACATTCAAATGAGATAAAAAGAGGAACACGAGAAAGCACGCATCGATAAGGTACCACATAGGCTTTAACCTTAGAATAAGTGAGAGCAACCCACAGAAATAATGGTAGAGTTAGACTGCTTTAACCATATCTCATAATGCGACTTGCCCATATCACATAAAAGGTGGCTTCACCTTCACACACATATAGGTAGCATCCATCAAGAGTGTGTTGCAGCTGAACACCCCATCCCAATAATTAGGGACTATGGATCTATTAAGACTAACAGCTCAACCTCCTCACTGCAGCGGCACTATTATGACACCATGGGATGGACCTTCACATTAGGCCTCAACGCCTAAGTGGGATAACAATAAGTGATAGTGCCCCTCTAAGACTATTTGGGTATCAATCACATAGCCTCTAAAATTGGCAACAGTCCTATCCCTCTCGATGTCTCGCTTATTAGTCTCCTTGCCAGTGGCTTAGTCAAAGGATCCACAAGATTCATCTCAGACTTCACATAGTCCATGGACACGGTATCATTCTCAATATGCTGCCTCATAATAGTATGTCACATCCGGATGTGACGGCTCTTCCCATTAAATATTTTGCTTTTAGCTCAAGCTATGGCAGCCTGACAATCACAATGTATAATTCTTGGTGAAACTAGATTAGTAAATAATGTTGTAGGAATATCCACTAAAAAATTTCTTAGCCATTATGCTTCGAAACAAGCCTTCTCTAAGGCTATTAATTTTGACTCCATAGTGGATCTCGTAATCATTTGCTTGGATGATTTTCCAAGAGACTGCCCCTCCAGCTAGTGTGAACACATAACCACTAGTAGGTTTTAACTCATTTGTATCAGAAATCCAATTAGCATCATAATAACCTTCTAGCACAGAAGGATAACCACAAAAGGATAAAACATAATCAATGGTGCCTCTTAAATATGTCATTAGTCTTGATATTGCATTCCAATGAAATTCACTAGGATTATGAGTATATCTACTCAATTTACCAACAACATATGCAATATCGGGACGAGTATACTTCATCAAAAACATAAGGCTACCAATAATCTGTGCATACTTTCTCTGTGATACACTATCCCCATTATTTTTTACTAAATGCACTTTAGCATCATAAGGAGAAGACGAGGGTGTACACTCATAATATTCAAACTTCTTAAGCATTTTCTCAACAAAATGCGATTGTGATAAAATAATGGAATCATTATATTTTAAAATTTTGATTCCCAAAATATCACTGGCATCACCCATATCTTTCATATCAAAATTAGATGCAAAAAAATTCTTGGTTGCAATCACTACATTATAACTAGTCCCAAATATAAGTAAGTCATCAACATAGAGACAAATACTAATAACCCCATCATTAAAGAATTTAAAATAAATGCATTTATCAACACTATTAATCACAAATCCATTTGATAACATCACTTTATCAAATTTCTCATGCCATTGTTTAGGAGCTTGTTTTAGTCCATATAAGGACTTCACTAATTTACTTACTTTATGCTCTTGTCCGGGAATTACACACCTCTCGGGTTGCTCCATATAAATTTTTTCTTCTAAATCACCATTTAAGAATGCATTTTTCACATTCATTTGGTGTACAACAAGCTTATGAATAGAAGCAATGACAAATAACAATCTAATAGATGCAATTCTAGTCACTAGGGAGTAAGTATCAAAATAATCAGCATTCTCCTTTTGTTTATAGCCTTTAGCTACTAATTGTGCCTTGTATTTATCAATAGACCCATCCAGTCTTAATTTCTTCTTAAACACCCATGTACTACCAATAGGCTTAGTTTTAGGAGGTAAATCCACAAGTTCCCATCTGTGATTAGCAATAATGGATTCTAACTCATTATTGATGGCTTCCTTCTAAAAAGGTGCATCCATAGAAGTTATAACATCGTTATAAGTTGTTGGTTCATCATTCACAATATAGACATAAAAGTCATCACCAAAGTTATTCTCTTTTCTCATTTTTTTACTTTTTCTCAGCTCTTGTACCTCATTCTCAATACCACAAGAACCACTAACATGTTATTGAGTATCTTTAGGTTCAAGAACTTTCATAGGAAACACATTCTCAAAGAAAGTGGCATTATTGGATTCAATAGTAGTATTAGCTTCCATAATGTCACTTTTAATCACAAGAAATCTATAAGAGGTGCTATAAGAATGGCCATTAAAAAGACATTTACATGATTGCTGTTTTGAAGTTTATTAATTGTTTGAATAGATAAGTGCACACTTTGCACATCATAAAATAAAATGAAGCTATTTTTATGACATACATGATCTCTCTCTCTCTCTCTCTAAGTGTGTTTCAAGACCACGGAATGAGTTCAATTATAATGCAAGACACATCCCATTAAAAAATCACGCAACATCATTTTTGGTCGGGTCATCATCTGGATCAACACACAAACTAGACTTCACAAAGGCCCAACAACAAATTGTTTTTAAAATCAGTTGTTTAGTTATCACCTACAATGGAAACTCAATTTCCTCTTGGCTTCATCAAACTTTCCCTCGAGCCATGGAAATTTTTTGTATTTTGTTTTTGTGTCACCTCTATGTCCAATCAATCTAACTATTCTCAAAGCTTGCCAATTAGTTGATCATAAATGCACAGTTGTTTTTCTGCAATAGATTGAGATAGTTGAACCACGGTGGATGTTGTCCGATTTGCTCCTACAATAGAGAACTGTGTGTCCGGCTTATCTCCTCTGATTCCTAAGTCAGTAAATGCACCAAGGGGATGGATAAGGCCTTTTCTGTACTAGATTGCTCGCAAATGCGTACATGATACCCAACTCATTGGGTATTTATAGCTTATAATAGGGTAATGTGGCAGTATAGGGGTCCAATCCCGTCAGTTGAGGGAGCTGTCATAGGTGTAATAATTAGTGACATCTACTCTTCTTGAACCGCGTAATTACTAGGCTGTAGGAGGTCAATGTCAACTCAGGGTCGAATCCTACAATGATTAGCAAGCTCGGGATACCAAGCACTCATTGCATGTCCCCTCAACATTTAATGATCTCTGCAAGTCATTTATTGAGTTGTGCTGAGTACTCATCATTGTCCTCCCAATGGTTAAATGCACTTTATCCCGACAGATCGGTGTTAGTCAGGACCATGCCTTTATCCCGATCTTCTAGGATAGTGGTGTAGTTTGATTTGACTGGTTCATTTCTCTATGGCCTATCACGTCATGGAGGGCCCTGGGTTTGAATGCTTGGTCCTATGGACCTCTTTTTACCTTTTCCATGATGGGCAATATCTACTCGGACCGATTCATTTTCTCAATGCTCCAATTTTTGGGTCCACGTGTCAAGCTCTGATACGAGTGTGACTTCATGTCCCGTCAATAGACATATTTTAGTTTATGGTCATACATATATCAAGTTATGGCCGCGAACCCTGAAATATTATCACGGCAAGAGATGAACAAAAATCCATTACTTGAATTTTATATGTTTTCCATATGCTCATCAGGAATTGCCCATATAGTGTGGGACCAAAAACAATTTTTTAAGTGTAAAAATTAAATTTTTGGTCAACTTTGAGCCTAAATTAAAGTGGGATCCGTTATTTTTTTCGAATAAACTTTTGTGGGTTCATATTCTACTCCATTAGGAGAATAATTTAGTATATTCATTTGCTCAAATCAAGTAAAAAATGAATGAGAAAATAGGTTCCAAAGTGACCTTCTTTAAATGTGGAAATAAAAGTTGTGCAATGTGGAATTTGACACCAATCCCACATTGGTTGAGGAATAAATTCAACATGAGCATATATAGGCCAAGTTTGCACTATGGGATTGGGCCCTAAGGGGTACCACAGTTTTATGAGCGGAGCAAGCACTTACATGTCTTCGGTTCGATCACACACGCACCACCCACTTACCACGCCATGACCTGACCGAGCTTGGGCTCGGGCTCGGGTGTGGTTTAGACCAAGCCCTATTTGTTTGGAAAAAATTCATTTAATTAATTGGGCATTAGTTTGTTAATCCGAAATTTATTTTCGGTATCCATTGGATCGCACTGGGATGGCTATTGTGTTTATTCTGGGTTGTGTTTTATAGTATGGTGGCATTAAGCCAAGCATTAGAGCATAGCATTTCGGCATTAAAACAGTCTATATTTGAAGAGTACACAACACAATTTTTTTGTTTGTTGGACGAGTAGATTAGAGTGTTATTTTTGCTCGTGTAAAGATCATTGTATTTTGCGAGACAAACGCTCGATATTCCATAAGCACCGTGTGTAGGGACGAAATCTGTCTTAAGGACATAGTGTCAAATACTAGCCTTGATCTATATCAACTTCAATAATAGTACCTGCTCGAAACCGGGTTAGTATTTCTTTTGATTTTACAGACAGTTACGTGTAACTGTATACTGTTATTGTTTCGTAAGACTACTGTAACTCTTTCCTGTAACTCTTTCGTAGAAGACTATTTCTGTGTAACTGTTTCATACTTGATTGTTACTATTTTGTTATATATTATATGTTTCAAATCAGAAATTTTAATAAGTGATTTTACTATATTTGGAATACCCCAAACAACAGATAGATGCTCTACAAAATGTTCTTGATGAACCATAAAGCTATCATGAGTTTTGGTTGATTTTATTCCAAGTACTACAGAAAATCTTCCACCATTAAGAGTGCAAAACAAAGTCAAGAATTAAGCGAAATGAGTTTGTTTGAGTGATTAAGGAGTTGTCTACCTTTAGACATTACTCAAGTTCAAATCTCACCAGCTATATAGCAATTGCCTTCCATTATACTCTCAAGAGTTGATTGAATCTGTCATCATGCATAAATAAAATTAATGTCATGAAGTTACACACTCTATGTGCCAAAAAAAAGAACTTGCATACTCAACTCAACAAACGAATATGCAAGATTATGAATTTAAAATTTATGTAGTGACTGAAAATTTTATATAATTTGAACTTTGAAGATGACTTGATCATTACCATGAAAAACACTAGCCGACAATTGACATGTTGGTACGAAACTAAGTTTCGTTTCGAAATATTCAAAACGTTATCATTTCCATTAAAAACGTAGTGATTGAATTTATAATTTCCTACATTTCGAGGTGTTTCAACATAGTTTAATATGTTTTGAAAACAAATATTCACATTTTTTTATTTGATTTCATCTTGTTTTCAAAATATTTTCAAAACTTTTCTATTTTTAATTTCATCAAAACTACTTGTCGAAATGAAATTTCAATCATGGAGGGATTCTCATTTCAAATGGCTTCAGAAATCTACTTAAGTAATTAAAGTTATCTTATATCCAAATTGTGTGAATGAACTCAACTCAAGTACGACATAAAACTTCAACACAAATGTAAAATTATTGAACCCTGACCGTAGGAGACCTAAAAAAACAAACCATTCTCATGTGTCTAGTACTAGTTTTCGATCTTAATTAACAACCAAGAAAGCTTAGGTGCAAACTATCACCAAATCAAGTTCTGCGTTGCAATTAGAATGTGTAGAGAATTGCTACAGCCTAGAATAGTGATTTCAACTCATTGCGAGCACTCGACTAAAAAGGTCATTACCCAATTTAGTTTCTATTAGTACATTGTAAAACTTAGACATTAATACACAAAATAACTACTATTAGATTCAAACGCACAACCTCATAATTGTCGGTCCAACTACTATCCTAAACATGGGCTCATGCTCAATTTTATGCAATATATGCGCATAATTAGATGTTATTAGAAATATTTGTATCAGTCTAAATTTCCTTTTTATCTTCTGCTAATGCTTGTCAATTTTATTGTTTCTGCTAAGTGTTTGTGAATAGGAAATTCTGCCAGGACCCAAACATGGCCACAACTAATAATTTTTTCTTCCCCGGACTCAACATACATGGTAACACATCTAATAAACTCAGGTCCATGGTCACTCCAGTAACGGTTGCTCAAATTGGTGGACTAAACACCCTTGGCATTTCGATGGCACGCCTTGATTTTGCACCATTTGGCCTCAACCCTCCTCATACACACCCTCGTGGTGCCGAGATCCTCACTGTCATGGAAGGTGCCCTCTATGTTGGGTTTGTTACTTCCAATCCCCGACAATCGTCACATAAGCAAGGTCCTATACCAAGGAGATGTGTTTGTGTTCCCTATTAGTCTCATTCACTTCCAGCTAAATGTTAGAAACACACCTGCAATGGCTATTGCTCCACTAAGCAGTCAGAATCCAGGAGTAATCACCATTGCAAATGCAGTGTTCTGGTCAAAGCCACCTATCTCTGTTGATGTTCTCACCAAGGCCTTCCAGGTTGACAAAAATATGGTTAATTATCTTGAAGCTCAGTTCTAGACCGATAACAATGGCCACTAAAAAGACATTTACAAGATTGCTATTTCTAAGTTTATTAATTGTTTGAATAAACAAGTGCACACTTTGCACATCATAAAATAAAATGATGCTACTTTTATGACATACCAAATATCTCTCTCTCTCTCTCTCTCTCTGTGTGTGTTTGTGTTTCAATGCCATGGAATGAGTCTCCATGGTAAAGTGGGACATAACATGACTATGCAAGCATATTAACATGTTTCTTTAGAAAAAAAACTCAACCAGTGTTCCTACTTGCACCCAAAATATTTGGCCACATAGAAAATAAACAAATCTTCATCTAAACTGGGCATGTCCCCCTCTAAAACAAATTATGACGTAGGCTCCACCACTTGGGTAGACCTTAAGCAGACACCCCTCCCGAGTGCAATGGAAGTCACCAACTTAGGCTAGGTAAGTATGTTTTGCGTTTTACTTTGTCTCTCTTCATAATCCCCTCTGGTTTCCAACTCTGCCATCTTCTTTCGATGTGGGAATAAAACCACGGCTCTGAATGCACCCAAGTGACAAAGTGCCTCGCCCAACTTGTAAAAGAGTTTGCAAGTTGAAATTCATGGGCAAAGTTGCTGATTGTGTTTAAATCTATGTAACTTAGAATTTCTGAAGTGGGAATTCAATCCTACTGGTAGTTGAAGACAGATGTGCATTTTGAGAGGCTTCTACTCTTTACTTGATGTTCAGTACTTGCAATTGCTCCAACATACTCATGGCAATCTGTGCATAACTATATCTTCCTTCTCTGCATTCCAGTGAACCCTAGAAGAGCAGTATTTGGCCATTTTCATTGCAATTTGGAGAGGCGCCCACCTAAGGTCTACCAAAGTGGTAGAACTTAAGTCATAATTTATGAAAGCTGGAGCTCGTGTACATGAAATAAGCATAAATATCCTATGAGTCTTGGTTGAGCTGATTTTTGTAAATATGAAAAACTTCTTATGAGAAACAAGAATTATTAGGGTTTGAAGGATTAGATCTTGTTGAGGAGGAGTGCATGTTTTTCAAAATCAGTAGGGTTGTAGGACACTGGTTGAGAAGATGTGAATAGCCTCTGTCCAGATTTTGCACTGACTACATTGACCTCAAATTCAGCCAGGGGAAGTCTACTAATATTATGAGCAAACATCCACCCAAAAAAATTAATTTTGGTAGGAAGAGTACACTGCTGCCTTCATTCCTATTCAGTAGCACACAATAATCATATGGTCAAGGTTCAAAATCTTGTTTTTGATGCATTATTTCGGTCATCTAGAAAACACAAAGACGTTTTGGATGCAAAATGAAAATGGAGAAAAATTTTGAAAATTTGTTTTCTAATATTGGTCAAAACATCTCAAAACACTTGGAACGTAAGAATTTAATAGTCAATCATTAATTCGTTTCGATTTCCATGAAAATGGAAATGACTTGGCCATTTTGAAACGAAATTTGAATCCGGTGTACATATAGGTTTATACAGAGAAATGTTTACTTTGCCCTGCAAAGTATTCTTGATAAACCCTACAGCTATCATGAGTTTTGGTTGATTTTATTCCAAGGATTACAGCAAATCTTCTACCCATAAGAGTACAAAACAAAGTCAGGAATTGAACAAAGTGAGTTTGTTTAGCTACAAACCCCATTCCACTCTTTCCTCAAGAGTAGATCAAATCTATTGTTATACATAAATAAAAATAAGGTCATAAATTTAAGTAGACAACTAAACTCAATGAAGGCTTATCCCAATTTTTTATTGGGGTTCACTATATACTATTGGTTATGCAAGATTAAGAATTTAGGAGTTACATGATGGGGAAAATTTAATATGGGACAAGGGACGAAGATGAAATGATCATTACCATAAAAAAAAGAGTATTTGATAATTGAGATGGAGGGATTCTCATTTCGAATGGCTGCCAAAATTGAATTAAGAAATTAAAGCTATCGCATATCCAAATTTGTGTGAGTGAACTCAGCTCTTCAAGTACAAGTTCATAAAACTTCAGCCCAAACGTAACAATGTTGAATCCAAATTGCAGGAGGCCTGAAATGATGAACACATTCCCATGGCTCTAATAGTAGTCTTTGAGGTTAAGTAGAATCCTAGTAAGTAGCATAGATGCATATCACCTATATAACTACTCTAAATTCAATGCATAACCTCATAATTGTCGGTCCAACTGCACTCCTAAACATGAACTCATGCTTTATTTCATGCAATATATGTGTCATATGTTGCATGTTAAATTGTTACATATCACCTATATATTCCAGATAAGCAAATGAACTCCAAAATTAAGGATGAAGAAGCTGTCAAAAATCGAAAATCCGAGTGAACATTTTTTCTGTCAATGGGATTTTCCAAACGAGACATTGTGAGGAATTTTAACCCTGAGGCTTGATTACAACTGGTGAAAAAATAACTTGAAAATTCATTGGTCTCAGCATTTGAATGCAATGGAAACTTCCTCTCATGTCCAATGTCGTAACAATGTTCATATTGTTATGTATTTCTCTTGATCTGCCATCTTGGATAAGCCAAAGAATTGTAAGAAAACAAATGAGTTAGTTAATTGATAGAGCTTAAAATTGGGTTATTGAGATTGACACCAATTTTTTTTTTTTTTGAATACTTGGTAAATTTAACTACCCTGTATGCATATTGATTTTGGGCATAATTAGACTGATTCAAGTTTGAACATGTCAGTGATTCCTGAACTAAATATACAGCATACGTTTGCTAAGATTTTCCCAAATTAGCAAAATTAATCCTCTCGTGTCATAGTGATTGGCTAAATAATCGAAGCATGGTGAAGAAGATGGTACCTGAAATTCTTGCATATGTCGCTTTATGGGCTATGGTTTCCTCTCTTGCATATGCCTCTGATTCTAGTCCTTTTCAGGACTTCTTTGTTGCTGTCAATGATTTGGAATCTGCTGCTACGTAATGTTCCTTTCCATTTCAGAGCTTGATTGAAATATTTGGATCAATATATCAATATACCTAGTAACACGTCTAATAAACTTGGGTTCACGGTCAAGCCAGTGACGGTTGCTCAAATTGCTGGATTGAACACCCTTGGCATTTCTATGGTACGACTTGATTTTGCACCATATGATCTCAACCCTCCTCACACACCCTCGTGGTACTGAGATCCTAAATGTCATGTAGGGTGTCCTCTGTGTTTAACTCCAACCCTGATAATTGTATCATAAGCAAGCTCCTATAGCAGGGAGATGTTTTTGTGATCTCTATTGGTCTCATTCACTCCCAGCTAAATGCGGTCGAAGCCACCCATCTCTGTTGATGTTCTAACCAAGGTCTTCCAGGTTGACAAAAATGTGGTTAACTATCTTCAAGCTCAGTGCTGATAAGAATGGCCACTAAAAAGACATTTACATGATTGCTATTTGGAAGTTTATTAATTGTTTGAATAAAGAATTTATTCAATTTATCAATGAAGAACTACATACTTTGCACATCTTGAAATAAAATGGGCTATGTTTACGAGTATGTCATACCACAACACTGTGTGTTTGTGTTTGTTTGTGTATTCCAAGATCAGGGAATCAGGCTCAATAATAATACAGAACGTATCGCAATAAACATGGTTACCCATCATATAAATCATGAGTTGAATACGACTGAACTTGTCCGAATGGTCATAGAGTCAACCCAAGCTATCCGATCATCAGCACCAAAATGGCTAATACCGTTTCACGTCGCCACATTTTGACATGAATTTTCTTCATCCAAATGTAATTTGATTAATAATCAAGTCAATTCCTTTTTGACCTATACTAATAGCTGGTAGTCTGGTATGACATACAATAGGCCTTCAAATGCCATGACTAAACAATCAAATTGACTAATAAATTTCTTTATAAAAGAGGTTCAACTAATGGGACCACATGCAAGCCGAATGAGTTGGTCCCTACACAAACCGCACAAACGCAGACCCCTACTATCACAAATTACAAACCGCACAAACGCAGACCCCTACTATCACAAATTATGACGTAAGCTCCACCATTTGAGTTGACCTCAGGCAGACACCCCTCCCAAGTGCAATAGAAGTTATCAACCTAGACCATGGGCCTTCTTGATCACCCATTCACCCCGTCCAGGTAAGTATGTTTTCCAATCATACTCCATCTCTCTTGATAGTCCCCTCCACCTTCCAACTATTACATCTTTTGTCGATGTGGGATTTAAAACACAGCCCAGAGTGCACCCCAGTGGCCAAGTGGCCCCACCCACCATCAGTTTTTGCCTCTTTTTGTAAACAAGAGTTAGCAAGTTGTAATTCATGGGCATCTTAGTTTATTCTGAAGTGGTTGTTCAATCCTTCTTAGTTTATTCTGAAGTGGTTTTCAATCCTTCTTACCTTGGGGAGGGGTGGGGGAGCCCTTGGTTATTAAAAATATCATCCCTTTTTTGTTGATCGTGTAACGCTTCAACGACTCATACATTTATATGATTTTATAGAAGAAAAAATATTTAAATGTTAAAAAAAAATTTCTTAGACATTCAAAACCAAAAAAATTCAAAATCAAGCTAATTACCAATAAAAAAAATAATAAGTGATACAAATTGCACAAAAAAAAATTCAAAACCAAGTTAATTACCAATAAAAAAAACAATGACCATAAAAAAAATAAATGAAACCAATTAAACCAAAAAATTATATTCAAAACCAACTATAAAAAAAAATTCCAAGTCGTAAACATTCAAACTCAAGCTAATCACCGATAAAAAAAAATAACAAAGCCAAATATTGGTGTAATTTCATAGAATAAAAAAATATTTGAATGCTAAAAAAAAATTTCCAAGTTGTAGACATGAAAAGTCTAGTTGCACCAAAAAAAAAAAAAAAAAAAAAAAACCAAGCTAATCACCAATAAAAAAATAACAAATGATACCAATTACGCAAAAACAAAAAAAAAAAATTCAAAGCCCAAGCTAATAGGAATAAAAAAATAGCAAGTAATTGAACTTATTATTATATTGTGTTATTCATTTGAATGGTGGCAATGGAGATAAATTCATACATATTATAAATGAGTAAGATTTTATTTATTACTTAAAAATTATAAATTTTATTATACTTCATTAATATTCTTTTTCCCAAGGTATTTGTAAATGTGATATTGTTTTGGGGAATTTTTTTATACATTTTTGGGATAGTTCTATTAATATGAAGGATATAATCGACAGTATATTTAAGGTCATTTTAAAAGAATTGGTATGAATGTTTTTGACCCACTTTCTTCTTCAAGATGAACAATTACTTGCAATTTTTAAATACCCTCTTCAAAAATCCAGATTTTCTCATCTCTCATGTAACTCTCTCTCTTTGTATTATATGTATTGTTATTTTCAGTATTTCTTTACTCAAAATTTGCAGATTTGACATGATTTTATTATTGTTAAATATTATGTATTAAATGTGGTATTGTTATTTTTGGTACTTCTATACTCATATTTGTATGATTTTATAGATGAAAGAATATTCATATGTTAAAAAAATAATTCCAGGTTGTGGATGTTCAAAACCAAGCTAATCACAAAAACAAAAAATTTCAAAACTAAGCTAATCAAAAAAAAAATAACAACTGATATCAATTTCACCAAAAAAAAAAAAAATCAAAGTCAATCCAATTACCAATAAAAAATAACAATGACCAATAAAAAAATAAGTGAAACCAATTGCACCAAAAAACAATATTCAAAATCAACTATAATTTTTTTTCATAAGTTGTAGACATTTAAACCCAAGTTAATCACCAATAAAAAAAAATTACAAAACCAATTTTTTTTTTAACAATCAAAGCCAAATATTTGAATAATTTTATAGAATGAGAAAACATTTGAATGCTAAAAAAAAAATTTCCAAGTTGTAAACATTCAAAGTCAAGTTAATCACCAATAAAAAAAAAAGTAAAATCAACTGTACCAAAAACACAAAAAAATTGAAAGCCAAGTAATGACCAATAAAATAAGTAAAACCAATTGCGCCAAAAAAAAAAAAAATTCAAAGCCAAGTTAATCACCAACAAAAAAATAACAAGTGATTGAGTTTATAATTATGTTGTATTATTAGGCTGAATGGTGACAATGATATAAATTCATAGGTCTTATAAATGAGTAACATTTTATTTATTACTTAAAAATTATAAATTTTATTAGATTTCGTTAGTATTTATTTTTTTTCTGAGGTATTAGTATATGTGATTTTGTTTTGGAAAATTTTCTATACATTTTTTTGATAGTTCTATTAATATGGAGGATATGATCGATAACATATTTCGGGTCATTTTAAAAGAATTGTTATGAATATTTTCAAGTCATTTTCTTTTTTAAGCTGGACAATTCCCTGTAATTTTTTTTTTTTTTTTTTGTGTTATATAGGGTCTTAGGCACGGGCAATAACCAGTAATTAGATATTGCTACAAATTTTGAGATAGCAAGGGCTAAACAAAATTTTACTGCCTCGATTCAATATTAATTCAATTTAATCCTTGATAAGGAATTAGTAAAATATTTGATTCTTCACACATTTCAAAATGAGAATTGGTAAACCATTTGATTCTTTACACATTTCAAAATGAGGAATTAGTCAATCGAGTAAGCGGGAATAGTTTGAGTCTTCATGATTCACTATTATCCGCCCACTTTGATTTAACTTGAAAGAGTCTTATCTATATATCAAGTTATGGCCGCGGACTTATATTATCACGTCGAGGGATAAACAAAAATCTATAACTCGAATTCTATATATTTTCCATCCACTGATGAGGAATTTCAAATATAGTTGCTCTACAAAGTTTTCTTGATGAACCACAAAGCTATCACGAGTTTTGGTTGATTTTATTCCAAGTATTACATCAAATCTTCCATCATTAAGAGTGTAAAACAAAGTCAAAAATTGAGCAAAATGAGTTTGTTTGAGTAATTAAAGAGCTGTCTACCTTTAGACATCACCTGAGTTCGAGTCTCACCAGCAATATAGCAATCCCCTTCCTTCCCCTATACTCTCAAGAGTTGATCAAATCTATCATCATACATAAAAAAAATTAATGTCAAGAACTTACATACTATATTTGCCCCAAAAAAAATAGAAAAAAAAGAACTTGCATACTCAACTCAACAAACGAAGCTTTGTCTCAATTTTTATGGGATCGGCTATATAAATTATGTTATGCAAGATTAAGAATTTAAAATTTACATAGTGACCGAAAATTTTATACAATTTGAAATTTCAACATGAATTGATCATTACCATGAAAAAGAGTATTTGATAATTGAAATGTGGGTACAAAACTAAGTTCGTCACGAAATATCCAAAATGTTATTTTTTCCATAAGAACCGAAGTGATTTAATTTGTAAATTCTTATGTTTTGTGGTGTTTTCACGTTGTTTAATATATTTTGAAAACAAAAATTCAAACTTTTTTATTTGTTTTCATTTTATTTTCAAAATATTTATATTTTTAATTTTGCTGAAACTATTCATCGAAACGAAATTTCAATCCTTGAGGGTTTCTCATTTCAAATGGCAGCCAAAATCTAATTAAGAAATTAAAGCTATCCTATATCCAAATTGCATGAATGAACTCCACTCAAGTACAACATAAAACTTCAACACAAATGTAAAATTATTGAACACAGATTGCAGCAGGCCTAAAAAAGAAACCCATTCTCATGGTCTGAAAGTAGTGCTTGAGGTTAATTAAAAACCTAGAAAGCTTAAGTGCAAACTATCACCAAATCAAGTTCTACCTAGAAAATTGGTTTAGAGAATTATTAGACTGAGAGGAGCTTAAAACTCATTATAATTGCCTATAATAGTGAGTTCAACTCATTGCGAACACTCAACTAAAAAGGTCATTACCCAATTTGATTTCCGCTATACCCCTGGGTATAGAACAAACAATTGCCTATAATAGTGAGTTCAACTCGTCACGAACACTCAATTAAAAAGGTCATTATCCAATTTGATTTCCGCTACCTCTGGGTATATAAACAAACTTGGACATTATAACACATAATTAGATGTTAATTATCAATGAGTCAACTTCTTCAGGTATAAATAGCAAAAAGCCTTTGGATCTCAGGTATGCAATTTGGAGCTAGACTTGATATTCATATTCCCTTCTCTCACATTGACTAACTTATGCATCGGAGTGGATATGCTGAATACACATCCGGCCATATTCTAACCCTTCTAACCTCGTTCCTTGTTTCAGGACTCTTCGATGTGACTCGGTCCAGGTGTTGCTATGTCTTCGATTGTGCTGGAATCATCTCGTCCAAATTACTATTATATTTGATTTTGCAAGTCCGCTGCATATCACATTAATCCATCTTTATCATGAAAAATCGATTCAACATCAAAGCACACTATACTTTCTTTTCCGGGCTATGGCGTTGGTCATATTAGCTATTTATACCTCATGCTCAATTTCAAGCAACATATGTGCATAATTAGATGTTAATAGTACATATCACCTGTATTTCAAGATAAGCAAACGATCTTGAGAAATACATATGAAGAAGTTGTCAAAAATCGAAAATCCGAGTTATCCTTTTTCTGACAAGAAGATTTTCCAGAAAACATGGACTTGAGCTTTCCTACATAGGAGTTTTTAACTAGCCAGTCTGTTTCTGGTACTATTAAATGTTATACTTCACCTATGTTTTCAAAGAAACCTCGAGAAAAAATGGATAAAGAAGCTGTCAAATTCCAAATGTAATTTAAAACATTTTTCTGTCAACAAGATTTTCCAAATGAGAAAGAGTCAGAACCTCTAATCCTGAGGACCCAAATATGCAAAGGTCTGATGCATTTGAACCCAACGGAAACTTCCTCTCATATCCACTGTCATGTATTGTTACTTGCTTTGCTTGATCTGCCGTCATGATTCTTGAACTATATAAACAACATTACCATGCTTAGATTTTCACAAGTTAGCAAGATTAATCCTCTTGTTCCATAGCCATTGCCTAAATAATCGAAGCAACATGAAGAAGAAGGTAGCTGAAATTCTTGCATATGTCGCCCTATGGGCTGTGGTTTCCTCTCTTGCATAGGCCTCTGATCCCAGTCCTCTTCAGGACTTCTGTGTTGCTGTCAATGATTCTAAAGCTGCTGGTAAATGATGTTCCTCTCCATTTCAAAGCTTAGTAGAAATATTTGTATCAATCTAAATTTCTTTGTTATCATATTCTAATGCTTGCAAATTTTACTGTTTATGTGCAGTGTTTGTGAATGGGAATTTCTGCCAGGACCCAAAGATGGCCACGGCTAATGATTTTTTCTTCCCCGGGCTCAACATCCCTGGTAACACGTCTAATAAACTCGGGTCCATGGTCACGCCTGTAACAGTTGCACAAATTGGTGGACTAAACACCCTTGGAATTTCTATGGCACCCCTTGATTTTGCACCATATGGCCTCAACCCTACTCACACAACCTCGTGGTACCGAGATCCTCACTGTCATGGAAGGCACCCTCTATGTGGGATTTGTTACTTCCAACCCCGATAATCGTCTCATAAGCAAGGTCCTATGCCAAGGAGATGTGTTTGTGTTCCCTATTGGTCTCATTCACTTCCAGCTAAATGTTGGAAACACACCTGTCGTAGCTATTGCAGCATTGAGCAGTCAGAATCCAGGAGTAATCAGCATTGCAAATGTAGTGTTCGGCTCGAAGCCAACTATCTCTGTTGATGTTCTCACCAAGGCCTTCCAGGTTGACAAAAATGTGGTTAACTATCTTGAAGCTCAGTTCTGGATTGATAACAATGGGCACTAAAAAGACATTTACATGATTGCAATTTCAAAGTTTATTAATTGTTTGAATAAAGAATTTACTAATTGTATAAATAAAGAACTGCATACTTTGCCATTCTTAAAATAAAATGGGCCATGTTTATGAATATGACATACCAGAACACTATCTGTGTGTGTGTGTGTGTGTGTTCCAAGTCAGTGAATCAGTCTCAATGATAATGCTGGACATATCATAAAAAACATGGTTCAGTGTCGACCAATTCAATTTATCTACTGACACTTTCCGATCTTGACTGAACTTGTCCGGACTATCACAGAGTCAAACCAAGCTATCTGATCATCAGCACCGAATTTCGTATCGACATGGTTTGGCATAAATTTTTCATCATGTTCAACTTCTTCGTCTAATTATAATTTCTTTGATTAAAAATCAAGTCAATTTGTATGGTATACAATAGGCCTCGAAATGCCATGACTAAGCAATCAAATTGTCTAATCTATATAATAAAGTAGAACTGAATTTGAATTTTTAAGAAAAAGAGAGGTCAAGATCGTTTTAAGACAAAACATAAACATATCTAACAGACAACGTAATTTCAACATAAAAGACGGTGCAGATCATCTCATAAATATTGATCCGACTATTATAATTGAACTTAACTCTAACACTCTTATCTCTTATATAACTCTCTCTCTTATCTCTTAGACGTTTTAAACACACTATCTCATCTCTTTTCTCTCTATATATATATCTATATAATAAAGTAGTTAGATTTCTTTATCTTTAATTTTTCACGGCTCAAATCTATTTACGATTATTGATCCGACGGTCCTCATGCCAAAATTTTTTATGACTCCTATCTCTTATTTAACTCTCTCTATCTTATCTATACTAATAAGATAGAGGTGATTTCAAACTTCCCAAATTGCAATCAATCTTCTCAATTTAGAAAAGCAGAAGAGTAGTTAGGATTTAATTGTAGTTTAAATAAACAGTTCAAATCTCATCTAAACCTATCTAATTAAATTCAATGACTCACAATCTATTCCATCTAAAACCCAAACCTGCCCATTTTAGCTGTACACACACGGCACCCCAAGTACTCCAGCCCAAGCCAAACTATTTCTCTCTCTCTTTCTCCTCTGCGGATATAGACCCAATTCAGGCCCCTTATTTCCTTCTCTCTCACTCTCTCACCGATCGCTCCTCTGTCATGGCTTAATCAGTAGATGTCACCTAGGTATATATATATTTCTCTCTCCCTCTAACCCCCACAAGCAATTCAGCCCCAATCTATGTTTGCCCTCTTTCTCCTTCTCTCTATGTATTGTCTTCTCTCTCAAAAACCCACTGCCACCTTCCCTCACCGACTGTCCATTTTCAGAGAGCCATTTAGACCACCACCATTAACCGCCACGCTTCTGCTCTCTATGTATTGTCTTCTCTCTCAAAGACCCACTGTTACCCTTCCTCACTGACTGTCCATATTCAGAGAGTCATTTAGACCACCATCATCGACTGCCACCCACTCTCTGTAACACTCACTCTGTCTCTCAGTAATGCCAAAGCAAAAGATAATTCGAACACCAGGTGTTTGTAGTATTGCTTCAACTAGGTGGATTTTTCTATCTATTTGGTTTTTCACTAATTGTTCATCTCTCTAATTTTTTATTTCTTGTCCATGTTTTTTAGTTTCATTTTTCATCTATCTAGTTTATTTTCTTGTTTTCAGTCTCGAGCTTCTGTTTTATTTTTTTCATTTTATCTATTGTGTGTTTGTAAAATCTGAAAATTTCATATTTGTTTTGGTTATTCTTTAGCGTCTACTCCAAAGTAAGTTATGTTGCGTGTTTGTTCATTTGTAGTAATTTGTTCTTCATCTTCTTTTTTTTTAATGTCATTGTTTTTTAAAAGGTTTGACGCATAGAAACTAATGAAAAATATGAGCAACGAAGGCAAGAACCACGATCTTGACAAAGGTAATGTTGTCCTTTCTTGATATTATTTTTTAGCATGTTTATGTAGAGGACTATATAGTTTGAACAAAATTAAAAAATTGAAATTCTTCATTAAATTAGCTCTCCTTTTTTTATATTTGATTATAAGAATTGTTTTGTTGTGTGCTTGGCTGCCTATAATAGCATATCAATTACTTTAGTTGTTTATTTGAATTTTTTTCAAATTGGGTGTTAATTTAGGTGTTCTGTAGGAAATTGAATGTTATAGTTTCAAATTGGTTGTTCAGTTTTGAGCAATTGATGCTAGGGTTTTCAATTTGGGATTTTTCATAAAATCGTGTTTGTCACATTTCAAATTTGGGTTATTTTCATGAAATAGAATTGTAGGGTTTTAATTGAATGTTATAGTTGGTTATAGTATTTTGATTGAATGTTAGAGCAGTTATGAAAATGAACTTGAATGTGAGATTTTGTAACACCCCAAAAACCACCCTAGAAGACATTACCTTCTAAAACCATTCATACCCCGGGAACAACTAATAAAATACATAAATAATCGGGGTCCTTAATTTAATAAAATTCGGGCAGAGACTCCTTTGTTCGGGGAGCTCTACCCAAAACACAACCTCTGCAATTATACAACATTGATCATATCGGGTCCATTTATCCCTAAAATAGTTATAACATTATCCAAAAGAATAAGCTCAAACCAGGCTACTACATCAAAAGAATTACATTTGAACTTAGCAGCGGAATAAATAAAATACTAGACTTTACATGATTGTACATAATCGTTCTTAATCTAGCACAAAAATAAATGACATCTCTAGATGTCCCACTCGGGATCCAAATACCCCTCTAATAAAGCTTCTACATGGCCTAGCTCGTTAGCACCGAGCTCTTCTTCTGGCTCATAATCTGTAAAATGTTTAACTGTAGGGGGTGAGCACGAAACTCTGTAGGAAAAATCCTCCCAAACTTGAACAAGGTTTAGAAAACAGATAAAAATTGGTTGGTCTCATTTCGTAAATAACATATATCAATTTTTGTAAGGAAAAACATGACATTTTAAATAGATCCCCAGTTTAAACCGTAACAATCATAAAGTGAAAGGATAAAGTAAATTTCACAACAATATATCATTTTCAAATTTAAGTCATTTAGGAAGGGCACCTTCTGATGCATTGTCTCATACCAGTGCACTGGCAAGACGATCCAACCCATTATCCCATGTATATTGGTTCATCCCCTTACCATGTATGTTGATTGCTTTTCATGAATCTACCTAACGATTATACCTAGTCCACTAATCACAATCACAAGCACTTTAGGAACGGGCGTCTATCTTCCCAATGGCAGTAACGAGTCCTTTCCCAAGAAAAATATATCATCCCTTGTTCGAACTCCAGTGAATGATAGTGGTCGCATTATCAAATGACAATCCACTACAAGTGTTAGAAAATCATCTCACTCCCACTGGATAGACTAACCTCTAATACTCTACGGCATCTCTCGATAGCAATCCAAGTCCATCACAACAACCATACAAATGAGAAAACCAAATATTCTCAATTCACCAACAATTCTAAATAAATAAAAAAATTCACAATTTCTCATTTTACAAGCATATCTCAAAAATCTCCATATTTATCATGTAACAATTCCAATAACCAATTAAGAAAAAATACAAAAGATCACATAAATATCATTGTGTTGTTCAATACGAAACACTAAAGTTTTGAAATCAAGAATAAAGGAAAAATCAAGAGAAAAACTCATTTCTCTTGAAATCTAAAATTTTGAATATGAGAAAAGAATTTTGATGGTTACTCAACCATCCCATTGTTTAAAACATGCTAACATTTATAAAAATATCAAGAATCCATGATTTCATAGCATATTAATATGATGTAGAGTCAAAGAAAACATATATGTATAACCTTAGCCTCAATGTAAGAGAATAGAAGAAAATCCCTACCTTGAATTAAAGTTCCAAACCAAAACCCAAGCTTTAGAGCCTTTCTTCTTCCCTTTTATTTTTCTTTTTTTCTTTTTTTCTCTCCTATGGTTTTAAGAGGTTTGGGGTGAAAGATGTGGGAAAAAAATGGAAGAAAATGGCTGATATATGTGTTTTTAAACACAGCAGTCCGCGACAGTTACTGTTCATAGGCTGATTTTTGAGTTTTTTTTAAAATTACGATTTTGCCACTAAAAATCTTCAATTTGATTCATATGACTACCTTAAGTTTTTCGACGTTCCGGATTCATTTTTAGTGTTATTTTAACCTAAAAATATTTATTTTTATAATTTATTTCAAAAATAAAATAAATTTATACTCGAAACATTAAAATTGCTATTTTATTCCTCCTTAGTATTTATTTTTATGGTTTCAATATATATGGTTTATTCTTACGTCATTACATATATGAGAATCACTAAACAAATACATTACTATATTAATATAAACATGTGAGGGTTTACACCTTCTAAGTCTAAGAAGAAAGCACAATTTTTTACTATCCAAGGAACACTACAGTGCAGATTTTTTTATCAACTTCGGAGAATAAACTGATTTGACTCAGGTAGTTCTAGTATGTGTGACCTATATGGTTGGAAAGATATACGAGTTAGGGTTCTAACAAAAATAACGGTGCACAATTTAGACTTTTCAACAAAAGTTATGATTAAATTGGTGAAAGATAGTCTGTCGGACTACTTTGTTCTTCTATACTTGTTTGGAGCCTAACTATACTTATTATTCTTATATTTTGATTTAGGATGTAAATAGAGACGTTAAATGCAAACGAAGCTAATTAGACGATTGTTGATAGTTTAGAAATGTGGGGGTTTACAATCCACCCCCCTAAAAGAAAGTTTTATCCTCGAAACTTAATCATCGAGTTAGTCAATCTAATTCTAATTGACCACAAGTTCTCAATGCATATTAATCCCTTAAGCATGAAATCCAAGATCATAATAGAACATCATATTCTATATTTTAAATCCATCCTTTCAACTTGTACCGTCACTACAATTAGTGAAGTCCCCAAGTTTACCTTCAT